TGCCTGCCCCTGGCACTGCCAACTCCTTCCCTCAGAACACCTTCCCACCCGCACCAAAAGTAACAGCTGTGCCAACCAATTTCAGTGCCCTTGCCACCCGCCTCTCTCTCTCAGTACAGGAGCAAAGCGACACACAGAGGGGCAGCAAGAGTCAAGATGGGTGGGGTGGGCTGCTCAATGTTTAGCCCTCCTCACCCCTGGTGTGGAGAGGATCTTGACTCTGGAGAAATCTTAGAGGAAAGAGCAGGATAGTGCTACCAAAAGTAGGCTGGATGAGACAAATGACCTCCTTCTGTGCTGTATCATCAATCTGTATGAATAGCAGGATAAAGGCAAGGGGTTGGTATCTCACAATAAACCCTGGTGATTTTTGAGACATAATTGGAGGAGTTTCATGATACTCCAGCATCCAAGACAAAATGTACTGCTCACTGTTTTTCATATAGCCTCCAGAATAATGGACAATGCATACTGACATCTGGATGATGCATACACCTGTATTTGGCACTTCACAACAGAATGAGGAGTCTCAGCGTGTTAAGAGTTCCACTGTGTGGAACAGTGACCATTGCTGTGTCCACAGATGGAACAGCCAATGTACCTCAACAACACTGTGCAAAAAAATGGCCCTGTGAGGAACAAGCCATCCTTGCCAAAGGGAAATGTTGGATAGAGCATGCTCATCAGCACTGATCTGCTGCTAATGGTCATCATCCGCCATTTCTTTATAAAAAATAAAGCCTGCTTTTTTCTGGTCATTGGAATCTTGCTGTGCAAAAAAGAATCCATTGCTTTTTGTCCATTGCAGCAGTAACTATGCTCAAAATAGAACACCATGGGGTGTCCTTCATTGCGGAAAGATGCTATATGAATGCAAGTCATGCCAATGAAAGGAATACTAAATTGAGGTTCCATTACTTGTCTTCATTGCCATCATGGAGTATAGCTGCATAATTGATGTGGTGGGGTAGCAGTGCATATGGCATATAATGGAGCTTTCACAACAACTAAATTAGAGTGGTCTCTCATCATTGGTATTTTGGATTATTTGTATTCTAATTGGAATGATGGCAAATAAATACTCCCTGGATTTTTAAACTGCAACTCCATTCTATCACTTGGCGTTTTAATTTTTAACTTGCTGCAAACCTGTATTTTTTCCATTTAAATTGCTATCATGTATCCACAAATGCTCTGTGATTTAATCTAATTATAACTTTTTGTATTCATGTCAAAGTCATAAAGCATCTCAACAGTCATTCAGGAGAAATCATTGAAAGCTGCAGTATGCCTTTTCCAACAATTTACACATTGATTGCAAACGATTTGTATGGATTATGGGACCACCGTTTGCCCAGTTTTGAGAAGATTGTGTGAAATTTGCACTTAAACGTCGAATGCAACACAACCAAATAACCAGTGCTCCCATTTTCTTGCAGAACAGGTGCTTGTAATGTTCCTGCTGCTGTCATTTAGTCTTCCATTGAACATTCTGCTTGTTTTTAACTTGTTCCATTCGTGTTTTTATTCATTCACAGGGTGTAGGCATTTCTGGCCAGGCCAGCATTTATGTTTATCCTTCATTTATTCCATGGAAGTGGGCATCACCGGCTAGATCTACATTCATTGCCCATCCCTAATTGCCCTGAGGGTGGTTGAGAGTCACCCACATTGCTGTGGGTCTGGAGTCACATGCAGGCCAGACCAGGTAAGGTTCCTTCCCTAAATGACATTAGTGAGCCAGATGGGTCTTTCCCCTGACAATGGTTTCATGGTTATCATTAGACTCTGAATTCCAGTTTTTTTTCCATTGAGTCAATTTCCATCATACCACTAGGCCGTCACACCTTCTTTCTGTTCTACTGTTCTCAATATTGCCACTCCCAACTCCCAGACTACTGTTATCCATGTCTCTGAAATCTCTTAACTGTTTCTGGGCCTGGTGAAAAGCGATTGAACTGAGGTGCTAACTCTCTCCACAGAAGCTGCCTGACCCCCCTGAATGTCTCCAGCATTTAATTGTCCTCTTTCCTGATTCTCAATGGCTCAGCTTCGACAAAGCAGAGCATCAAGACCATAGTATCTGCTGGCCTTCACAATGTTCCAATCCTCACTCCTGGTCAGCGAAGGCACCACATAGGGAATGGAATCTTTCCGAAGTTGCTCAGCATTGTCGTGTGAAAATAAGGATTGCACAATACAACAGATACAAATCTGAAGTGTGCATCGTTAATGGACGATACTGCATTGCAGTTCAGTGGAGGGACCAAGCTGCTATGGTCACATGTGTGCTTGCATGCATATTGAAACCTGGAACTGTGGGTAGTGATGGGAGAGGCTCATGTTGCAGCCTGGAGCTGTGGGTAGCGATGGGAGAGGCTCATATTGCAGCCTGGAACTGTGGGCAGTGATGGGAGAGGCTCATATTGCAGCCTGGAACTGTGGGTAGTGATGGGAGAGGCTCATATTGCAGCCTGGAACTGTGGGTAGTGATGGGAGAGATGGGAGAGGCTCGTATTGCAGCCTCGAACTGTGGGTAGTGATGGGAGAGGCTCATATTGCAGCCTCGAACTGTGGGTAGTGATGGGAGAGGTTCCTTGATTGTCTCCATCAGATGACAGGGGCAGGAATATTTCCAGCTGTCATTGACTGCCATTGGCATGGATCAATAAGGCTAGCAAGCTGATAATCAGCTGCTGAAGGACGCATGCTGAGCACACTTTCCTTCACCATCAGGAGAAGGCGATGGGCTCGTGGTATTATTGCTGGACTCATATAACCATATAACATTCTGTGGACCCGGGTTCAAATCCCACCATGGCAGATGGTGGAATTTGATTTCAATAAAATATCTGGAATTAAGAATCTAATGATGACCATCAATCAAATGTCAGGAAAATCCCATCTGGTTCACTAACATCCTTTAGGGAAGGAAACTGCCATCCTTACCTGGTCTGGCCGACATGTGACTCCAGACCCACAGCAACGTGGTTGACTCTTAACTGCTCCCTGCACAATTATGGATGGGCAATAAATGCTGCCTAGCCAGCGATGACCTCATCCTGTGAATGAATAAAGGAAAAAAAAAGTTCCTGGGGTGGGACTGAAAAACAGGATGTCTGGCTTAGGAGCAAGGGCACTGCCCACTGCACCTCAAGAAGGTGTTATAGTCAACACACTACTCATATTAAAGACAGCTATAGCAACAGGCAATAGCGTCGACAGTTGCTGCAATTGTTCAGGACCTCGATGAGACTTCTACTGCTTACTGTGTGCAGTTTTGTCCTCCTTATCTAATGCTATGGGCAGAGAGCAGCAAAGGTTTACCAGATTGATTCCTGGGATGGTAGGCCTGACATATGAGTTGAGACTAGACTGGGTCGGAATATAGTACCTGGAGTTTAGAAGAACGAGGTGAACAGTCCTTTAGAAACCTATAAAATTCTAACAGGACTCTACAGGGTAAACATAGGAGGAATGTTCTTGAGGCCAGGGGTCACAATCTAAGGATATGGGGCAGGCTGTTTAGATCTGACATGAGAAGGAATGTCTTCACCCAGACAGTGGTGAGCCTGTGGAATTCTCTGCCACAAAAAGTGGTTGAGGCCAAAACATTGTTTTCAAGAAGGAGTTAGGTACGTTCTTACGAAAGGAAGCAAATGCTATGGGGACAATGTAGGACAAGGATGCTAATTTGGATGACCAGCCATGATCACACTGAATGCCAGAGCAGGCTTGAAGAACTGAATGATTTACTCCTGCTCCTGTTTCTTACGTTTCTAAAGAACATTTCAATGAACAAAAAAGTCATATTTTGAGGACAGGTTGCATAAATGAGGCTTGTATTCCTTCACGCATAGAAGATTAGCAGGTAATTTAACTGAGGTGCTGAAGATGACTGATGGATTAAATTGCTTTCCTAACAGCACTGTGGGTGTCCCCACATCAAAATGATAGTAATGGTTCAATAAGTCATCTCACTACCATTTTCTCCAGGGGCAATTAGGGACGGGCAATAAATGCTGACCCAGCCAATGATGCCCACATCCCATGAACGAAACTTTTAAAATAAAATCAATAGGGTGGATGCAGAGAAACTATTTGATCTGATGTGGAAGTTTTGAACAATGGGGCATTAGCCAAAATTAGAACTAATTTGTTCAAGGGTAACGTCTTTCACACAAATGGTGCCTTTGTGGTAATAGTCCAGATGTCGAAGCTGATGTTATGGGGGCATGAGTTCAAATCCCACCATGGCAGCTGGTGGACTTTAAATTCAATTAATAAATCTGCAATTTAAAGTTGGTCCTAGACATGTTGCCATGGCAACTATCATCAATTGCTGTAAAAGCCCATCTGGTTCACTCATGTCCTTATCCGGTCTGGCCACACGTGACTTCAGACCCACAACAATGCGGGTGACCTCATAAATCACTCAGACCAGTTGGCAGGTTTGAGTTGGCAGATTTGCCCATTGGAATGGACCACCAATGCTGGCTCTGTCAATGACCCTATATCCCATCAAAGAATAAATGAAAAATAACACAAACAGTTAGCTGTTATAGTCCCACTAGACCATAGGGCTGCTCTTTCACTAGAGACAGTCAACTTTTTTTTTTGGGAAGGGTTTAACTTGAAATTCACCAGGCCTTAGGGAAGGGGAGAGGTTGAGAAGGGGGAAACTTCCGGGCAATCTCAGCTAGTGTGAGAATTAAACTCATCTGCTGGCAACAATCTGCATTGCAAACCAGCTGTCTAGCCAACTGAGCTATCTGACCCCTCCACACATACAAGCAACCCCTCTCTCACCAAGTTGCTACATGCGCAAATCCTCGAGTGGGAACTGAATTAGCATTTTTTCGATTCAAAGTTGAGAGTTCATGAATAAAGGAGTGGAGTTAACATCAAGCTGAATGAAGCGATGCAGATGTATAGCCATGGAAACACATTCCCTGAACAGACTGAATGTCATACCAATGTAATTTGGGGCAGTTCCTTACCTTACCATGGTTGGAATTCTCACACACAAACGTCTCATAATCTGTTGGGAATTCCGGAGAATTATCATTGACATCCACCACGCTAATGAGAACAAAACCTCTTCCAATCTGAGCAGGGTTCTCTGTACAAAGTATAATACACAGTCAAGAGAAGATTAATGTATGTCATTACACAATGTTCATGAGATCTCTTTTCTTAATGCTCATTTCTAATCATGCTAATGGAAACAGAATAATGAAACAGCTTGGAAAACAGTAGAATACATCAGTGTGCGTCATTCAAAAATTGATAGCACAAGCCCAGTATAATGTTAATGACTTCCTTGGATTACAGCATTCATAAACCTGAACCCACAAACTAACAGCAAAGTCACAGATCCTTCATCGCCTCTTTAAACAAATAGAACCATAGGATCTTAGAAACCGTACAGTGTGGAAGCAGGCCATTCAGCCCATTGAGTCTGAACAGCATCCCACCCAGACCCACCCTTTACCCTATCCCTATAACCCTGCATTTCCCAGGGCAAATCCATCTAGCCTGCACATCTCTGGACACTATGGCAATTTAGCATAGAGTCATACATTGTACTTCAACACCGTATTTCACTTATACTCCGAAATACTGTGGCCTTGAGCTTCTATAAGTTTCCCTGTGTCTAGATATGATAGTATTACAGGCAGTATTGTTTGAAATAGCACTAAAAGATGTGGAATTTAAAACATAAGTGAGTTACACCCCCTACGCTCTGCACTCTGGCATGCTGGTTCATTTCACGAGGAGCAATCCCAAAACTGGCCATACTCCCCTCCCTCTGGATGAGCCAAACAGCCTTTTTTCTGCGCTATGGACCTCTATGACTCCATGGCCACAGGTCAGTTTGATGGATTTTCACTGATTGGGTACATTTCCAGAGCTTACAGACATACAGGGAGTTTTGGTTAACGATTAACTAAAACATCTCCGGGCTTGATCTCTCTCACCAAAGGTCATAATGACTTTTGATTTTCAACGTAAATCATTTTAACTCAGTTGTAATTGAGTTCAAACTCAGTCGGTTAATTAACAGTTGGTAAGGGCCTGTGACTACCGATGGTTTAAGCCATTGATTGGCCTGTTCCTTGAGCAGCAAATATCAATGGCACCCAGTGCGCGGCTGGTTTAATTCAGTAACCTCAAGGTCAGTTCAGCTTTGGTTCCTGTCAGCAATACATGACATCCAAGTGTGTTGCTCAGTTCTGATCGTCTTTGAGGAATTTTACATTTTCAATCAGGTGTAAACAAAGGAGGAACCCAGGGCCTGGCTTCACTTTGGAAAACCTGCAGCAGCCTCAATTATTTTCCTGTGGTACTTCGAACTGAAAGTCCAAGCGTTTCTTTACTGTTTCTGCTTTTTTAAAGCAAACGTGTCGGCCTTTCTACTATAGTGTTTGGCAGGGGTCAGCAAATCTTAAACTGAAGTCTAAACTGTTCTCACTAGCTATTTTCCACTGTACATTTCCAGTACATACACTGACCCAGACAAATGGATCTCTCAGGCTTGAGATCAAATCACGCCAGCGATTGGGGAATTAAAATTAAGTTCATGAATAAATCTGGAATAAAGAGTTTGTATCAGTAATAGTGACCATTAAACTAGATTGCTGTTGAAATAACTCTATGAAAGCCAGTATCCCATCACCGCGTCACCCTCTATTTACACGTGTTTGTACATTACACCGACCCTGCTAGCACACAGCCAGCTCCTAGAGTGAGCAGAATCCATTACAGTCCTGTTTATATCTGTCAGCCACAGCTCCTTGATTGGACCAGATTAACAGCCCCAATCAGGGAACTCATATTCTATGGATCCACCTAGCTGACTTCATTACAATCACACAGCAGTTAAAACCCACCTGGTTCATTCAATCTTACCACCATCAGATTATTCCCTGAGCAGTGTGCAAATTGGCATGGGGTATAGAATATTAAAGAGATGAGTACACAGAGTAAAGACTAAGTAAAAACCGAAAGAACTGTAGATGCTATAAATCTGGAACAAAAACAAAGTTGCTGGAAAAGTTCAGCAGGTCTGGCAGCATCTGTGAAGGAAAAAGCAGAGTTAACGTTTTGGGTCCGGTGACCCTTCCTCAGAACCCTTCCTCACTGGACCCGAAATGTTAACTCTGTTTTTTTCTTTCACAGATGCTGCCAGACCTGCTGAACTTTTCCAGCAACTCTGTTTTTGTTACAGAGTAAAGACTGTTGAGGGCAAAGTGAGTTC